GACAAGACCTTTCATTTGATATCAAGCACTTACACCCTTTGACCTTGATCTTGGAGTTTGACCTTCTTTTTAAAAGATTTAACCTTGACCATAACTTTTGAATGGTAAGGGCTAGGGCTTTTATACTTCACATAAGTAATCCTTCCTTGTTGTCCCCCGCTTTCGCGAAAGCGAAGGGACATTAAATCTCCTCGTCTGTCTGTCAGTCTGTCTGTCTTTCCGTCCGTCAAAAAAACACTTTGCCCATAACTTTTGATTGAGTGGACCTATGATTTTTATATTTCACATGTGTATTCCTTGTGACAAGACTTTTCTTTTGGTACCACCACATTTCACCTTTTGACCTTGACCTTAGAGTTTTACCCACTTTTACACAAAATTTTATTTATTTTTTTTTTGCATAACTTTTGAACGGTAAATACTAGGACTTTTTTATATTTCACATATGTATTGTTTGTGGCAAGACCTTTCATTGGATATCAAGAACTTTGACCTTTTGACCTTGACCTTGGAGATTTCTGTACTTTTGAAAAAACATTAACCTTGGCCATTACTTTAAAACAGTAAAGACTAGGGCTTTCATTCTTCATATATATAATCATTGAGAGAAGTCCTTTCATGGGATAACAAGAACTTTGACCTTCTGAACTTGGCCTTGGAGTTTGGCCCACTTTTAAAAATGTTAACCGTGGCCATAACTTTTTTGAAGGGTTAGGGCTAGGGTTTTCATACCTCAAATATTTAATCCTTGTGGCAAGACCTTTCATTTGATATCAAGCACTTACACCCTTTCACCTTGATCTTTGAGTTTGACCTACTTTTTAAAAGATTTAACCTTGGCCATAACACTTGAATGGTTAGGGCTAGGGCTTTCATACTTCACATAAAAAATACTAAAGAAGACCTTTCACTGAATACCAAGAACTTTGACCCGTTTACCTTGACCTTGCAGTTTGACATACTTTTTAAACTTTGATAACCAATATATTTAATTTACAATTAAAAAAAAAAAGTTTAAGGTAAAGTTACAGGGTCATCACTGTTTCACAAACGCATTTTGTTCCTTTTAACTTTTGATTGAGAAGAGATAGAGCTTTCATATTTTACATATGTATTACCTATGACAAGATATTTCAAGCATGCTTTAATCTCTGACTCCTTGACCTTGATCTTCACGATTGAACTTATTTTTAAAAAAAATCAACTTAATTTCTTAATGACATATGATAAGGCGTTCACATTTGACATCCCACCCACAAAGACACCGAAAAGTCCACCGAAAGCGAGGGACCACAATTCTTTGAATTTGCTTGTTTACACAAGTTCAAAATATAACGTAAGGACTTATTTTATAACCACAAAAGTATTGCTTATAAGGTTTATCACTGCGCATGCACATATTGATTGATTAGGTCAGGCAAGCTTGTTAAAAGCTGTTACTTGTGTTATTCTCCCCCGCTTTTGCAAAAGCGAGGGGACATTAAATCTCATTCCTCTGTCTGTCCGTCCGTCACAAAAAAATAAACTTGCTCATAACTTTTGCTTAAATGGAGCTATGACTTTCATATTTCACATGTGTATTTCTTGTGACAAGACCTTTCTTCGGGTACCACCAAATTTGACCTTTTGATCTTGACTTTGGAGTTTGACCCACTTTTACACAAAAAGTTTGAATTTTTACTTTGGCCATCACTTTTGAATGATAAGGGTTAGAGCTTTCATTCTTCACTTTTATAATCCTTGTGACAGGCCTTTCATTGATAACAAGAATTTTGACCTTCTGACCTTTACCTTGGAGTTTGACCCATTTTAAAAAAAAAATTAACCTTGATAATGCTTTCATACCTCATATAAGTTATCCTTGTGAGAAGACATTTCATTGGACACCAAGAACTTTGATCCTTTAACCTTGACCTTGAAGTTTGACCTACTTTTAAGATTTGGGTACCAAAATATTTTATTTGCATTTAAGAAAAGTTTTATCTTCGCTTCGTCGCCATACAGGGTTTCACAAACACACCTTATTCCTTTTAGGTTTTGATTGAGAAGAGATGGGGTCTTCATATTTGACATGTGCATTACCTATGACAAGATATTTCCGAGCATGCAATGATTTCTTACATTTGACCTTGCCCGTTACGATTGACCTTATTTTAAAAAGATTAACTTTGGTGATAATTTCTAAATGACATATGATAGGGCGTTCATATTTGACAACTCACCCACAAAGACACCGAAAGCGGGGGACCACAATTCTTTGAATTTTCTTGTTTTAAAACAGTGTTTGAAATATCTGCAATTAACTTAGTTTCCCTCAAAAACGCTATTAATTAAATCATTGCAATTTGTATGATTTGTCAGGTTTATCAGTCAAATAATTCTATCGGTGCATATAAAAACAGGAAAACCTTCAATTCGTAGCTATTTAGCTTACCTGCGCCGAAGGCTCAAGTGGGTTTTTCTGATCAAAATTTGTCCGTTGTCTGTCGTCGTCGTTGTTGTTAGCTTTTCACATTTTCATCTTCTTCTCAAGAACCACTGGGCTAATTTCAATCAAATTTGCTATAAAGTAGCCTCGGGCAAAGGGGATTCAATTTTGTTCAAATGAAGGGCCAAGCCTTTTTCGAAGGGTAGATAATTATGAATTAGAGAAAAATTATTGAATTTTTTTTTAGAAATCTAATCCTAAAGAACCACTGGGCCAGGAAAGATGAAACTCAAGCGAAATTATCCTCAGGTAGTGTAGATTTAAATGGGTTCAAATCATGACAACTGTGGGTATGGTGGGGCCATAATGGCTTATGAAAGTTTTACATGGGAACATATAGGAAAATCTTTTAAGATCTTCTTTTCAGGTACTTCAAAGCCATGATTAGTAATATTTCTATAGTTCCATTTCTAATTTTTTTTCTCTGTGATAACTGTTTGAAAGATGGGGGAGTTTATTTCTTGATAATTCTGCCGAAATGTAAATTAGGTTGGTCAATAGGTAAGCAGCTAAGGAGGCCTAATACGCATGCAAATCTCGTGCGCATCTGTGTCTGATGCTAAGGAGGCCAAATATGCATGCAAATCTCGTGCGGCTGCCTTTGTGTTTGACGTCAGTGTGCGAGCACTATTGAAATTGGCATGGAAGTCATCGTGTTATTTAAATCTATTGGTCAACATTTTGAATGTCTTAGTCTTAATTTTATTTCACAATGAAATGGAAATATAAGAAATCACTGTCTAGTTAGGAGACTATGCAAGGGACATCAACAATAGTGGGAAACATGGGGTAATTTCAGCGAAGCCGGTTATGCAAATTATCCCATGTTTCACGCTATTGTTGATGCCCTGACATGCTCTCCAAACCAGATAGTAATTCCTTAAACAAATCATCCTCAGGTAGTATAGATTCTAGTTTGTTCAAATCATGACCCTCTGGAGGGTTAAAACTTAAGCCCCCTCCTGCCTCATGAAACTTTTAGTTCTGATCTGATACGTGCTTTTTCCTAGCCGGTGTGCTCAGGTGAGCGATTTGGTCCCTGGGCTTCTTGTTTGAATTAAGGACAAATGATACAATGTTTTTATTTGGAGGAGACTGAATACCATATCACACTTTGTGAAGAAAAGTGAATGATTCTTTGAATTTTTTCTCCTTAGACTTGGAGAATCAAATATTTTCCATATCTCCCCTAAAATGTATTCAACTAGAGTGATCATTTAATTATTAGTAAAATGACTCCCTTCGAAAAATAACCCTAATTCCAACAGAGTGATACACATTTTATATAAAAGTCAATTGATGTTAATGTTTGGTGCTCAACGATTAATTCTCTTGCATCTCTCTGACGAACACAGGAAAAACATGCAATTACGAAATGTATTTGTAAAACACTGATGTCCCTTATAGCAGCATGTAGGTAAAAAGGTCAAAGTTCGTGTCCATGGAAAGATCTAATTAAAAGGAATATACTTGTGAATGAAAACCCTAGTACTAACTGTATAAAAGTTATGGCCAAGGTTAAAGGGTCAAACTCGAATGTATATAAGTAACTAATGAATGGTCTTTAATTGTTACAAAGAAATATATATATATACAAACAAGACAATCATAGCCCACTCTTTCAAAAGTTATAGGTTAAAGTTTTGTAAAACACAGACTCGTATATATACTACATCTTCGATTACTGGATGTTAAACAATATACATGTACAATCGATTACAGGAGCATAAATAAGTGTCTTCAAACTTAATAATAGGAATTCATATTATTATACAGCTAAAGTTTATCATTGAGGGACTATAGTTCTGGTCTTGGGGAACTGGAATATTGCTAACTCCCTAAATGATACAGTAAAACTCGATTATAACGAAATCACAGGGACCAATAAAATAACTTCGCTATATCCGTATAAGGAATTTGTTAAATTTATATAGCTGGGGATCTAAAAAAAAATTCGCTATATCCGTGCTCATAGTCATACTGAGTTTTGCTTTTGAAGGAAAATATAGTTTAAAATAGTTTAACTGTTTTATTATACCGACACAAATCTAAATTGTAAAGATCACCTTTCATAAAATAAAAATATTTATGTACAGATTTACTAATCATTATTCTCTTAACTGAATAAAATCACAATTTATATTTATTGAAAAACTAAATTATGGATTATGGATAACCGCGAATTAGTATGACTGGCTTTCGACGGAGGGATAAGATAAAAAAAAAACTAACGCACGAGGATTAGCCGATGCACAGCAATTTTTAGGAAATTGTTCATATCTAATCACTTAATCTTATACAGAAAAAAAATCAGTAGAGGCATAATAAATATATGTAAATATCTTATTTAGTTAATATATTTAAACAAAATAATTTAATGAAACACGAAAGAGTTAAGAAGTCTATAAATATATAATCTAAAATTATTTCCAATGCACATTTAAATTTGCTACATGTATATGCCACTACCTTTTTAGCAAATAGTTAATAACTATGCTAAATAAATACTTACAATGTTTACTGATCCTGTCATGAATCCATGTGTCAGACACGGTACGGTGTGTGATGATGTCCAGCTGTAGTTTGTCTATAAAGAGGTCGTACATCTTCTCCGGTCTCTCCGGTACATACAGACATCTCTCTCCCTCACTCTTCTCATAATCCCAGGACCGGCAGTATTCTGAGATCACGTCACGTGACGCCGTGGTCAGGAAAAATTTCAGATCACTGTCCTCCACCAGACACTCCGTAACAAAGGCGTACATGACGTCATGTCGGATGTCGTCTGATAAAAAGGTTATCACACCGTCATGTGTTTCTGTGATTTCATCAGGATATACCAAACCGTCATCATTAATATCAGGGAAATATCTGTCTCTGATTTTGTCCCTAATGATTCTGTGTGATTGTTCATTGAGATTCAGCTGATATTTCTCAGTTAACAGTATGCTGTACAATAGACATTTGACTTCTGGTGAATAGTTATGGTATTTACCTAATAAAGAAAGGATTTATTAATGTACAGACCAAAATATATTTAAGACTAGTCATGATATTTCATTTCATAACATTTTACAATTCTCTCCCTACATTTAAAATTTTTGTTTTATTCGTAAAGTAAATAAAAATGTAAAGTGAATATAAAAGGAGGTATTGATTGTTTCGTATCCTGCCTTGTATGCAATTTTAAAATCATTTTACTGGGGGTTTTGTTTTCTTTGCAATTTGTGATGATCGTGTTCGGTGTTATTTTGATACATTTGGAGTTTGATGGAAGCCGAGGTTAATCCAGATGTCTTAAGCACTTGTGTTTTTTCCGCCATTTTATATCATAAATAGATAGAAACTTTTACTCGATTTACTCGATATTCGGTAGTTTCAATTAACAAGAGACCCATGGGCCACATTGCTCACCTGAGCACTGTTGCTAGGAAAGAGTCGAATTTAGTTTATTATTGAGTTTAAAGTTTAAATCGAAAAGTATAGTCCCATGACCAATCGTGGCTTTCTTGAAAAGAAGATTTTTAAAGAATTTTCCTACATAATTCTATGTAAAACTTTGGTTAGCCATTTTGGCCCCGCTCTGCCCCCAGGGGGTCATGATTTGAACAATCTTGAATCTACACTACCTGAGGATGCCTCCATATAAATATGATGAATTATGGCTTTGTCATTCTTGAGAAGAAGATTTTAAAAGAATTTTCGTATATATTTCTATGTAAAGCTTTGGTCGGCTATTTTTGCCCCGCCCTACCCCTGGGGGTCATGATTTGAACAAATTTGAATCTACATTACCTGAGGGTATTTCCCTATAAGTTTCATTTTTCCTGGCACAGTGGTTCTTCAGAAGAATATTTTTAAAACATCTCACCAAATTTTCCTAATTTCCTAATTATCTCCCTTGAATGAATGCGTGGCCCTTCATTTGAACAAACTTGAATCCCTTTCACCCAAGGATGCATTGTCACAGTGACAAATTTGGTTGATAAACTGATAAAACAAACGGGGCGGGACACTTTGAGAGGGGTGAGAGAGGTCCAAAGGAGTTTTGGTATAAAATTACATTGCAAAAGCTCAAATCTTCTTGAAATATCGTCCGGAAACGATAGTGTTGCATGCAGTCAGAATATGTAAATTAACGACCTTGAACTATGGCCTTTTGACTTCAAAATCAATAAGAGTCTTTCGTAGGCCACAGGAAGTTGCTATCTAAAATTTCATTGCAAAAGCTCTAAGGGTTCTCGAGATATCGCACGGAAACAAAAGTGTTATAACAGACAAAATATGCGAATTTATTATCTTGACCTTAGACCTTTTGACCTCAAAATCAATAGGGTTCCTCTTCAGTCCATAGGAAGTTCCTATGCAAAATTTCATTGCGAATGCTCAAAGGGCTCTCGAGATATCGTGTGGAAAAGAGACGGACGGACAGAAACAAATCAATATCCCCCACTTTTCAAGCGGGGGACAAAAAGTGCGACTGAGATCAAAAGTGAGCCCGTCGAAGTTTTATGACCCCAGACCTGATCCTGAGAGTTATTCAATTAAATCTTCTGTTCAGTTGAGCTAAAATGGACATTTTTGAGCAAAAAATTTCGTGATTTTTTATTTCTCATTATGAAGGCATCACGTTCGGCTTATCCCCAGTTTCTTTCATGATACCTATATATTTTAGCATAAATAATACCTCTACAAGCTGTGTAGCAAATCTCGTTATTAAATTAGTTTGATTATTCTACTTCCTTGTGTCCAAACCATAGGTTTGATATCGACTATGGCTTGAGTTCCAGTTATAATTAATCATTTTGCTACTTTCTCGAAGAAAGAGGGCGTATTAGGCGTAGATAATCCCCTGCTTTGATAGAGAATATTTCTCATTTTTCCTAATTCACAGAAGAATAATATTTTTCTAAAATCATGTTCTCAGTAATGCAATCTTCAAAACATTTTATTTTACTGAATGACTTATTACATGTATTTGATAATCTTTATTACAAAGTTGACAGTTTAAGCATATGTAGTGGAAAATTGGTTTACTAGAGCTATAAAAAATGAATTTTGAACATGAATGGGTGAAGCCTCCATTTTTCGTTAATACTTAAATGAAGAAAAAAGTAAAAGCTATTTCATTCATCCAAAAAATGGAATATGAAGCCATTCTATATGAAAATCAAAAATTTCTGAAAAAATTTACGCTTCAACAAACTCGTTCATTTAAATCACACTAATAGACGTCGATAATGCATGTTGCATTGGTTAAAGAGGTCGGTCTTGGACCAAAACCTGCGCTATGGAGAGCGTTGGAATCAAACGTGAAGCTTTTTTTCACATATCATAAAAAACATGAGTAAAGAAAAATTATTAATAAAAAATCAAAACAATAAAATATAGTAAAAGATGATATTAACAATATACTTTTGAAAAACTTTTAGAATTGAGAAATGTCTTTCCTCGGAGCGGGGGATTGTTCGCGCCTTGCACCCCTCTATTCTTTACCAGATACAATTGTTCTCAGAATATTGTCATCCTTATCTTAGTTAAAAGTTTCTTTAAAATAAAATTCTATAAAAACATGGTGTTATTCCTCTCAAGACTGCCTTTCAATGATAACATGTTCCATGGCCCCCTATCTGTCTGTCTGTTTGCCCGCAATAAATAACTTTGACCATAACTTTTGATTGAGTTAGGTTATTACTTCCATATATATTTCACAGTTGTATTACCTATGACTGGGCCTTATTTTGTATGACAACCATTTAGTATTTTTAACTTTGACCTTTGACTTTGCTGTACGGATACATCAGTGTTTCACAAACGCATCTTTAATGTTGATCTTAGTAGGTAGCTCATGACTTAATAGATAAATATTGATTGACTTAAGTTAATCGATTTATATTACAATAAAATGTACGGGCTTATTTTCTATTGTCGGTGTGTTTTAGACTAAAATTTGGTGGAAGGGGGTGGGGGGGGGTGGGGGTGGGGGGTGGGGTGGGGGGTTATATACATGTATTGAGCCTGTCAAGTCAAATTCATGCACAGGGACACCAGCATAAATTGAATTACTGGTAAAGAAATGTAACATCATAAATCGAGATAAAACTTTAAAATATCTATTTTCTTACTTGGTTTTCTGTAAGCTTTGTTGTCGATGATGTAAATATCATTGTGTGGATGTAGACCTACACAGGATCTCACGATGTCATATCTCCCGTATCTCCAGAGCCACGTCAGGTGATCTACACTGTCCTGTGATCTTCCTCTGTAATGTACAGTCTCCCCTTCTTTTCTTAGATCCGTTAATAATTTTGCTTTTTTATCTTCACTGTCCTTTAGGATATTTATTGAAACATTCACTGTAATATAAATAAAACAAACATTAATAGTTTGAATTTTATCATTTGATCAAAAAAGTAAAACCTAGACTTAGTTTAAAAAATGGTAAAACAATATTAAGATACATCTATCTAATCACAAATGAAATAAAATTATAAAAAAGTACATTTTTTAAGTAGAAAAATGATTATATCATGTGTATGTATGCTTTGTAGCATCAATGAAAGCTTTACTGATCAAATAATTTTTTTTATGATCGAGTCATGATACGAAAATTTAATTAAAAGTAATGCTGACATTCTCATATAAATATACTAATCTCCAGAAATCAACCTCCAGACGATTTTTTAAAAATTATTAAAATTCTTTCTACTGACTTACATATCCGGTGTATCTCATCATATATCTCCGTGTCCTCCATAGTGACGTGAGTCAGTATGTTCATCTGTAAACGGCGTATCAGTAAGGAATCACAGTGACTAGGACTAATGACACACTTCTCTCCAGGTTTTCTGTTGTATTCCTCTGATCTCAGGTACACACTGGTTGTGTCATAACTACTGTACCAGAATGGTATACGACTGTCTTTTGATGCTATCATATACATTGTCTCATCCTTTGTGTCCTTCGTTATCTTGTCCTGATCTTCCCAGAGGTAATCACGTGACTTCAGTCTGTCCAGAGTCTGCTGTGCCTCCTCACGTGTTACAGGATCCCTATTACAGTGTAACTGTCGTATCCAATTAAACAAGTCCAGCCACTCTGTGTCAGTGAAGTCAGGAGGACCGGAGTCAGAACACAGATAACAGAATAACAAACACACCTCGTCATCAGTCAATGTGGAGAACTTATCTAAAAATGTAAGGAAATTTTATAAGCATTATCTGTTCATAAGGCCCTGAATTATTTTGTTGAAATTACTTCTTTGTGAATATTCTGTTTCTTATGGAATTTTTTTTTTCTAAATCACCTCATGTTTTTTTTTTTCGTTATAATATCAGAATTTATTAAAATTACTTTTTTACAGCAAAACAAATAGTAAACTTGTTTATTATTAGAAAATATTAATATAAATCTTATGCTTTAAGATATATGAATTTGTGACCTACATCTCTCATTTTCTAAATTCTAAATTAGTAGAAATATTCTTAGGCTTTTGAAGGGTTTTATGCTACTGTGGCATTGCGCTCGTAGCTTTACTCATAGATTAATGATGATGTAGATGTAGAATATGTAAATATGGCTTTAAATAACCACTGCAATAATTAATATCAAATATCAACTACATGTAAGTAGACAGAAATAATTTTAGTTTTCCACAAATTATCATTCCCTCGCGCACCCAGTTGCGGAGGGGATATAGCATCGTGATTGTGCGTATGTGTGTGTAAGTGTGTCTGTTACACCTAGTGGGCAAGATTTATAGAAAACCTTTGCATTATCCGTTTTCAGCATTTACATTCTTGAGTGGCAGTAAAACAGGACAAAGCCTATTCATTTCTAAATTCATTAATAATGAAATATTTCTTCAGATATCGCGTTTTTACTGTCTCGAAACCCTGACATTTTATGTACGAGTTGACAATAGGGAACCAGTTAAAGAGCCAGTTTTAAAGTTTACAAGTTACAGCTTTTCAAAAAGCTTGCCTAATGCCATCAATATCTATAGAACCTATAGGCATGATAAGTTATAAAAGTCTACATGGGTGGGGGAGTTGTTAAATTATTTCACTTGAGTAAATTTTGAAGATGTTGCACAAAACATCATGCATTCATTTTAAGTTGTCTGATACTCATTAGAGCAATGGGAAAAGTACACCTTTTATATAAAACTTATATATTGTTTGTATCTCAAATAAAAAGATGAAACCATGTACATGTCCCGATGTAGATTCGAACTTCCAACGTAAAGATGACCACTTCACTCCGCGGGTCTACAAATGGTTGTAGAGGATGAAATAAGCAAGGGAAAAAAACTATATAATGCTTTAGCAGTCCCAGAAAGCAGTCCCCGGGACTGCTCTTGAACTGCTTTGTGTCAGGTTGGGTCTGGTCGGTAATGTAGGCTAAAATGATCTCAATATCAGGGAACGGGGGGCTACTATCAACAATTGTAAGGAATGTTTTGTACGTTAATTGTGGAAACAGTGAAAGAATATGTAAAGAACGCACGATTAGTTATATTTTGAGATGTCAGTTTAAAAAACATGAGAGAAATGAATCGAGAATCAGCGCACTTTTTTGTGCGCAATAAATATACAGTTTTTTAATAAGTGGCACTGTAGCTCTCCGGTCTGTCAATTACCCGGTAACATTTTTCGGAGAGCTACAGTTCTGCAGCTATTAAAGTGTCTGCTCTAGAGTCGAGAAGTAAGGAGCTGATCCTTACTTGGGTTCGAATCCACTGCAGGACCTTCGGATGAGATAGTAAAAACCGAGGCCCCATATTCGAATCCATTGCGGGACGTGTAGATGGTAAAATGAGATACCATGTCGCAGAAGTGTTGACACGAAAAAGATCCATCGCTGCTCAATGACCCTGTATGGAACCAAGCTTGTCTGCTAATGAGACAGGCCTTACCATGCTTACTCCATTCCTCAATTTTAAAAGACAATTTTATTAAAACCACCGAAACACTTTTAACTTTTAAATTAGCCATGATATATTTTATTAACGAAATGGTTCAAGAGTGTAGGATTCTTGAACAACAAATGCTAGAAAATCACAGCAGAACAAACTCGGCCGTTCTGATAAAAAACGTATTTTGATGAAATTGTATTTTGTAAAAGTTGATAAACATAAAAAAATCTTTGAAGAATCTTAGCAAGAAAACAAGATGTGTTTGTGAAACACTGATGTCCCCGTATGGCAATATAGCAAAGATTAAGCTTTAATTTCTTAAATGCAAATTTAATTAATTGGTACCAAAAGTAGGGTATTCTCACGGGAAAACAATTGTGAAATTTGAAAGTAAGCTAATGTTAAAGTTTTTTAATAAGTACAAAAATCTCCAAGGTCAAATTGTCAATGTAATTAGTATCAAATAAAAGGTCTTTCCACATAGAATACTTATGTAGAGCATGACAGCCCTAGCCCTAACCGTTCAGAAGTTATGGCCAACGTTCATTTTTTTAAAAGGTGGGTCAAACTCGAAGGTCAAGGTCAAAGGGTCAAAGTTCTTGTTATCAAATGAAAGGTCTTGTCATAAGAATCAAATATGTAAAGTATAAACGCTCTAGCCCTTACTCTTTGAAAGTTATGGTTAACGTTTGCTTTTTTAAAGTAGGGCAATCTCAAAGGTCAAGGTCAAAGGTTCAAAGTTCTTGGTATTCAATGAAGGGTCTTCTCACAAGAATTATATATGAAGTATTAAATTTCCTATCCCTTACCGCTCAAAAGTTATGGCCAAGGTTAAAGTTTTTTTTACAAGTACGGAAATCTACGAGGTCAAGGATAAAGGGTCAAGGTTGTTGGTATCCAATGAAAGGTATTTTAACACACATTACATATGTGAAGTATAAATGTCCTGGTATCTATTGTTCAATAAATACGGCCAGAGTAAAAGTCTAAAATTTTCATGTAAAAGTGGGTCAAACTCCAAGGTCAATGTCAAAAGGTCATAGTTGGTGGTACCCAGAGAAAGATCTTGTCACAAGGAATATACATATGAAATATGAAAGTCATAGCTCCACTAAATCAAACGTTATGGGCAAGGTCAAAGTTTTTGTGGACAAACAGACAAACAGAGAGACAGACACACAGCTAGACAGACGGACGGACACGACAAACTATGTACCCCAGAAAATTCGTTTACGGGGCATAAAAAACTATTTAGTCGGCGCATTTTAACTGGATCAGTCGCGTCAGGGAAAACAAAGGTATTTCTTATTATGTACTTTTCTTATTTCTAAAGGTATTATTCTATGAATTTCAGAAAGTATTTTCAAAGTTGACGTCAGAAAAAAATATTTACCTACCTACCTAACCAACTTGAGAATTTCGGGTCGGGTTAGGGGAAACAAATATATTTTTAATGATGGCCTAATTGATTAATGCTTGAAAGCATGGCTATATGTAAAAGGTTACATATATTAGATTCAAATGCATACAGCATAGGCTTTGAGGAAGACAGCTGAAAATATGATAATTATAGGAAATAGGGAATCGTAACAGTTATGACTGACATACAAAATATGTTTTATAGTTTCTTGGGTACGTCAGAGCATCAAAGATTGTTGGAAACGGATAAATAAAGCTCTGTATACTTAAATGACCTATATAACAAGCTTGACGGTGATATATGAATGGCGACAGGCGCGGTTTCAGGAAGTTTCTCCCAGGTATGAGGGATCCACATCAAAAATATTTGTAGGGGCAAAAACTTAAGTTATAAAATTTCTAAATCCTGAAATGTGAGAGGACACTTTCATAAGTCTATACTATGTTTTTGTAGGAGGAAACCCCCTGGAGTTGGGGGGATGATATACTTGGCCAGTACATCCTCTTAAGAGGTTTTTGTTAGTTTCGTTTTCATTACTTTAAATGATGTAATTTCTAACTCACTTTACAATATCACCGATATAATTTTTTCCAAAGCTCGACCAGGATTCCGACAAAAAGAACATACAGTCAAACTTGTCTTAGCGGCCACTTGAAATCAGCGGCCACTCCCGATGAACGGCCACTCTCTATTCCCCCCAATGGTTTTTTCTATATAATTGTACTTGAATAAACGGCCACCTGCGTAACGCGGCCAGCGGCCACTTAAATCCTGACCCAAATCGTTAATTACACTGCAATAAGCGGCCATTTTGTCCAGAGACTCGATTTTATCACGTGATATTTCACATGATTTAATCAGCTGTGACGAAGGTGGATTTTGGCTTGGGCAATTAAATACTGGTCTGTTAATCTAAACCTATTATACAGATTTGTGTTCAAATTAAATATTTTGTTCTCTATTATAATTGTTTGTCTTTTTTACTCATTGTTGAAATGGCTTCGCCAACTGTAAAATGGAAAGTTTTAACTTTAGCAGAAAAAATCAAAGTTATTGATTTAGACAAAATAGGTGCTTCTTCCCGCAAGATTGCGACAGAATTAAATGTTGGAAAAACGCAGATTAATAACATTTTGAAAAGAAAGACCGAATATATGGAGGATTTTCAAAATAACGTTGACCCAGACAGAAAACGGCGGAGACACGTCACTGGAAATGAAGAAGTAAATGATCTGTATGGCACGCCGATTGGTTCAAAACTATTTTCTGCACGACCTTAAACAAAAATTACACGAGCAAGTCAAAACTTACACAAAGTGAGGAAAATATACACAAAGTTATTAAATTTTACACAAACTACAGAAAAACTACACAATCAACAAAATAATTACACGATATAGTGAGAAAATTACACAAACGTAAAAATTACGAAAACTGCACGAGTGAGAATACAACATCGACATAATATACGACGCATCCTCATTGCGCACATTTCATTAATATTCATTAGAGAACAGCTCAGTGTGGCTTGGATGCTTGAAACATTATAAAATAACAAGAGGATGAGTAATATTTTAACAATATTGATCTTTTGAAAAAGATTCAGTCTTTTAGAATTACACTAGACTCTCAAGAATATATATGCACAACGTGGTTTATACATGTAAAAACTGACAGGCACGCAATATGCATATAAATTAACACCCCGATTATAAACATTTTAAATATGTATACATGTAGATAATGTAAAAAAAGGGGGAGGAATATATCCACTTGAGTGTTTAATTGTTAGATTTTTCCATTGTGCCATTCCTCTATATCGCGATTTCTTTTTGAAAGTTCAAAACAATGATATTATCATAGAAAAGTGAGTAAATAAAAACAGCATGTGATGTAATACAGTAGAGTTATCAACAAATCAAACTCTTCTCCTCCACCACCCACTGTGTGTACTTATGGTAATAATTAAGGATGTGGATTTGTGACCTTTTCATATCGAGAGATCCTCCCTGCTATGCTGGAATGAAAGACACCTGCATGCTAATCGATTTATAATTATTTGACACATCAATAATACCTTTTAATTGAACTTGAAGGTCACTAGCAATTCATACAGAGATGCTATCATCTGGGTTGTGGAATTTGCACAATACATTTTTAGAAGTACTGAACAGTAAAAAAAAAAATCGAGCAAATACTTGCGCAATTTTAATTTTAATATTGAAACGAATATATCATTATTCTGAAATAAATATGAATGTGAAAAAGTAGTACATGTGTGTAGTATTAAATTTTGAACAAAGTGTGGTGATTACATAAATACATGTAAAAATCCATGAAAATGCATTAATATTATACACTCGTTTTACTAATGTGAATTTAAGCTTTTCTGTTTTTATACTGTAGATTATTTTGAATAGGTAAAATGCATATAAAGGAGTTAGTTTAAAATTATAATATTTAGATACATATGTAGTATTGCTTTTGAAAGTAAGGGGGTGCCAAATTACCTCAGGAATGCCACACCAACTTTTTATTTTATAGATCTTTGAGTCATCCTTTTAAAACAATGGTTTCAGCATTGAAAGGCCGAAATTAGCTCTTAGTTATTTTATATGAATTTTTTTGTATTTTTTCAAAGAAAATTCAAAAAAATTATTTATATCCAAATAAGTTGTTTTCGAGTTAAAAGTTTGCTGTTAATGAATGCATTATATGAATATCTAATAAAATATGTAAGGAAAGGCTGGTAAGACTTTTCAATTTTTTTTTTATAAAAAATTATTTAAGTAAATAAAACACAATATTCGTAGACATTTTTTAAACGTATGGTTAAAACACCATAAAACTAGTCACAACTGAGGACAACATGTTTGTCAATCATTTAAAAAAAAAATCAAACGAAATTGAGAAATTTTTAGAGAAATTAATTTTTTTAATATTTGGACCTAACCCGATGAAAATTAAACTGATCCCGATCAAAATTAACACAAAAGGAATAAAATGCTAATTTATTGCCCCTTCATATATTTACAATGAAGAAATCTAATTTATTGTCAAGTTCAATAATAATTTAAACCTTATTACACCTAATCAAACTAGTGTTCTTGAGAAAATGTTATTTATTTCCAATAATTGTACAGTTATGGTTGGGATCGGTTTAATTTTGATCGGGATTGACCAAAATTAAAAAAAAAAAAATTAATTTCTCTAAAATTTGGCTATTTCATTTCAATTTCTTTTATAAATATGATTAATGAACATGTTCTCCCCAGTTGTGACTGGTTTTAAGAAGATTTTAACCACAAATTTAAAATATATTCACAAATTATGTGTCCTATTTTTATAAATAATTTTTTTATTTAAAAATGTTTAATATCTTTACGGCTTTTCTTTACTAATTGACAAGCAAAATAAAGATAAAGTGTCCAATCTCGCAAATCCTACTTCGATGAGGTAGTGAGGGACCTTCACTTCCAATCCAACAACAAAAAAAGGGGCTTTTCAGTGAACATTTTACAATGGAAGAAGGTTCTGTTCGCAAAAAAAATAATAATAATAATAAAATAAAAATTCCTAATGCTTCGTGCCTGATATATTTTCTAAGAAATTAAGGGTACAAGAAGCAGTCCATCGAAATCAGGATTGCAATACAACTTCAAACTATATAACGATATCCCCGGATTTGAATGCGCTTGACCTAACAAAAGTTAAAAATTGGGGGTTGGGGTCAACCTGAATGTAAAGAAAAATTTACTTTAGCAAAATCTATACTTGAAAATAAAGGGGGGGGGGTGTCTACAGGCATGATTGACGATTCATTTCGTTTCATAAATAATATAACCATGTTGTCTTTTTTATTATGGAAATATATTAGGGTGAAAAAGTAATCTTACAAGGAACTTAGTGTTTGGAAAATAATTTTAAAAATTCATGAAGCCGAATTCGAAATGTAAACAGAAACGTCGAGCTCCATAAAGAATATGAATTATCTGTATTTTTCAAGAGTGATAAAATGCGTTCTATGACACTGCTGTATCCATTTCAATTTTTTATTGCATCCTATTTGTAACATTGTACGTATAGATAAACGTAGTAAATTACAATGTTTTAAAAGTAACAATATAAAAGCGCATGACTGTACACAAAGCACAGAGTATGTTTATTCTCCCTTTACCTGGTCCTTTTTATTAAAATGAAAACATTTATCAAGTAATCGCAATTTGGAATCGTTAAAAAAAAATAGGAACAAATGAAAAGTACCAAAATTAATTCTACATCTTAATGATAATAATAAGCAATAAGTCTGCGAATTTCATGAAGAATCAACTTTATTAATAGTTTGATTATGCAAGTGTTAATTTAATATTTATACTAGTAATTCCCGTTAAAGTTGTATCTATAAATTTTCAAAAGCTATAAAAAAATAAAACAAAATAATTCTAACATTTTTTTTTTTAGAAAATCAAGATCCTAGTCAGACCTTCTGTTTATCGTTAGGTACTTTTAGGTTCGGAGTCGAGTGCTTCATATGCAATAAGTTTTTTTAATTTATTTTTTTTTACCCCGCATTTTACGATTCCTTCTCGTCACAATTTTTGTCTGGCATCAAATAATACCTCCTTATATTGGTTCGGATCTTGATCAATATAAGAAAATCATAATATTGTAGAAAAACTTTGAAGTATTCTCACATATAATCTTATACAAACACTTGAAACATTTGTTCGATCGGTATTAGCTAGAAATCGGATTGAGTTTTAGCAAGAAATAAAGGAGCAAAGTAAAACACATGCCATCGTCAACACCATTTTCCATTCTCGATTACATCCAGCTAAGCATACATGAAGAGATAAAGAGTACAGAAAAACCAGGAACACAATGAATATTCTATGTGCATAATAATGACATGCGCAGCTGTATGCGCATTAAAATTGTTCGTGTAATTTTTAGTTTCCTCTGCTCGTGCAATTTATGTTTTTTGTTTGTGCATATTACACCCCTCAATCGTGAAAAAAATTTCGGATTCGTGTATTTTTCGTTATGTTTGTGTTAAAATCTATCAAACTATGTGCAATTTTTACTTATACGTGCAATTTTATTTTACTCGTGTATATTTTTCATGTAGCTCGTGTATAAAATCTTTATTTTTGTGCAGAAAATAGTTTTGAACCAATCGGCGTGCCATAGATCTGTGCTGGGAATGGTTCAAGGATGCAACTTCGCGTAGAATAAATGTTACGGGACCTCTTCTACAAGAGAAAGCGTTGAAATTTGCATCTGATTTAAAAATTGAATCATTTCAGGCATCAAACGGATGGCTTGACTCCTTCCATAAAAGACACAACATTACTTTCTCTACTATGTCTGGTGAAAGGGGGGATGTTAATTTACAAACAGTTGATGATTGGAAATCAAAACTTCCCGAACTTTGTAAAAACTATGAAAATAAAAATATTTTTAACATGGATGAAACAGGATTATTTTACCGCGACACTTCGCGACAAACTCTCTTCATTAAGGGACAAGACTGTGCCGGAGGTAAACGATCTAAAGAAAGAATTACGGTTGCTCTGTGTGCGTCAATGACTGGCGAAAAATTAAAACCCCTTCTTATAGGTAAATCCCGACAGCCAAGGTGTTTTTCTAAAATTAAACCAGAATCACTGCCTGTGATATACAAATTTAACTCGAAAGCTTGGATGAATTCCTATGTCATGGAGGAATGGCTAAAACAGCTGGACAGTTCAATGCGCCGCCAGAAAAGAAAAATCCTCCTATTTCTTGACAACGCTCCATCTCATCCTAACATTAAACTATCAAATGTGGAGTTACAATTTCTCCCACCAAATACGACATATAAAACTCAGCCGATGGATATGGGCATAATTCAGGCTATGAAACTAAAATTCAGGAAAAGACAGGTACATGTAGATATAATTTTTTTTCTTCTCATGATCATGTTTAAATGACCTTATAATCCATCTCTATCTATAAAACACATTGTTTAATTTTTAGAGTGCAGTAATTTTATCTAGGTTATGTGCAGTAGAGCGGAACACTTTTACTCAATTAGAATTTACCACTATCTTTACACTGTGTCGCTAGCTTTTAATGTTTTTGTAAAAGGGGGTGTAGCTATTATTTTAATGAATCAAGAATTCCTGTTGTTTCTGTTCATAATTTTTTTAGATGAAGCACATGATTAAAGAGATGGATAAACACCCCGACATTTGTGGTACCGATATTCTGAAACAAATTACGATACTGGACGCAATCTATTGGGTGCATAGTGCTTGGGAAGAGGTCCAGACTTCAACAATACAAAAGTGCTTCTCAAAAGCTGGTTTTCTTTGTGAAAACATTGATAGTGATGATGATTTCGATGATGACGATGACGTGCCTCTTTCAGTTTTAAAACTCGCACATGAAGTGTTTGGTTGTGAATTTAATGACCTATCTGAGATGGATCAAACACTGTCAACCTGTGACAATTCAGCCAAGGACTGGGACAGACCAGCTACCGATCTGTTGAATACATTGGAATCTGATGGTAGTGAAAGTGAAAGTGATTCTGATAATAAAGAAACAAATTGTTGCTCTGTCAGTGATGCGCATATATATGCTGATAAATTGAAAGAATTTGCCCAGTTTCATGGTAACACAAGATTGCTGTCATCTCTCATGAGTGCAAGTGAATATTTGAATGACATGTCTTTGAACAGTAGCAAACAGAAACCAATTACAGACTTTTTTTAAAAAAGAGTAAAAAAAAATATTCAGTGACACAAGTGGTATTATATACATGTACATATCCCTGGCCATTAAAATGTACCCTGTTGTGTAATAAAGTTAATAATTTCTCCATGTGTTAATTTACTGGCTCCTAACAGAGCAAACTGGATTTAAAGGCCACCTGTGATAAGCGGCCACTTTTGCAACTTCCCTAAGGTGGCCTCTTAAAACAAGTTTGACTGTACTTTATATAATTCATGCAGTTTTCATTTCCATTCAATAGAATAGTCCAGGAAAAGGGCGCAAAAATTTTCACGTGACATTTTGGCGGGAAATGATTGTGTCACCCCTTACCTAGAAGACAAATGGACTTATCCAGTAGTATAGAAACTCAGAAAAAAAGGTCAAACGGACCTGTCCGTATAAAAACTCGCATTAAATAAATAGCTGCTAGCAAAAAGCTAAAGGAAATAAATATATCAATGTATTGTTTCAGCAATATGGTTATTTTTATGCTAACTGTTGTTGCTGAAACGCATGTACCAAAATCCGATGACAATCAGCATGCACATACATGTATTTGTGCTGGCTAACTGGGAACTCTTAGCTTCGCACCTAGGAAATATTGGTCCTTAGCAGTGCCTTGCGCCGTGACGTCAGGCAAAAAGGCGTGTCGAGTCTGGGCGAACCAGATTAAAAGAATTTATTGAACGTCGCGGTTTTATTACCAAATTCCAACATATATATGTCAAAGGTTTGTGATTTCTCGAACTCCACACAATTGGATTTCGAGAAATCACAAGGCCTTCACATTGTGAGGATGTTAGGTAGGTAAATAATTAAAATTACTAAAACTTATACATATAGCATACATGATATATATCTGCTAGGTATAGGGGAAACTGCCCAATTACGAATGCATATTATGCCCCCCCCCCCCCCCCCCACTAAAATGCTATGCAATTAGATTTTTGTTGAAAATAGACACCCCCCACCCTCCATAATTTTGTTAAAAATAAATAATTCTGAAAAACAATTTTTTATCTTATATTAAACTTTTCTACTCCAAATTAGGTATCCATGTTATGCCCCCCCCCCCCTTAACCACGACGCTATGCACTCTGCATTTTGTAAAAAATGGATCAAAACACCCCACTAATAATTTTGTCAAAAGTAAGGGAGGAGTTGATCCTAATGTTGCGGGTTTGAATCCTTTTTGGGACATGAAGACTGGTCCTTTGAGTGACACCGCGTAAACCAAGGGCCCATGTCTCAATTCCTCATCATTTTGTTTTGATTAACTGCTTAACAACCTTTATAGAAGCGGCATCTTTGCTTATATAGCCTAGAAAGGAATAATTCTGAATGTTCATGACATATTGTTTAATTTAGATCTATTAAACTAGTTCCTATCTTTTGTTAGATTAGACCCTCCAAAACAGGCACCATTTATATAATACTATTGTCATCCAATCGGTTCAACTAGGGTATACGGATAAGTAGTTCCATAAAATCGATTAACATCTTTCAAATTTATTTGATAAGAAATAGTTCCTTTTATAGTAGATAGTGGGAATATTTTGCCTTATTACTTGAAATAAATCCCTTTAAAATGGTCCAAAAGAACTCCCCTTTACAAAAAATGGTTAACAATTCCACGATTAAACCTACATTGACATCAAAAGGGTCGACAGTTGACACACCTTACTAAACAACAGTGTCACCATAAAGGTCGACAGGTCGAGAGTTGACACCTCTTATTGGTTAAACTACAATGTCATCACAAAGGTCGACAAGTCGACAGTTGACACCTCTTATTAATTTTCAATCCCATCTGAGACATTAGGGTTAGTTCTCAAATCCATCTGAGAGATAAGGGTAAGTATTCAAACCAAGCTGAGAGATTAGGTTTAGTACTCGAACCCCCTGAGAGATTAAGTTAGTTATCGAATCCACCTGAGAGATTAAGGTTAGTTCTCGAATCCACCTGAGAGATAATGTTAGTTCCAGAACCAACCTGAGAGAATAGGGTTAGTTTGCGAACACACCTGAGAGAATGGGGTTAGTTTTCGAACCCACCTAAGAGATAAGGGTTAGTTCTCGAACCCACCTGAGAGATTAGGGTTAGTTCTCGAACCCACATGAGATATTAGGGTTAGTTCTAAAACACACCTGAGAGATTGGGGTTAGTTCTCGAACCCACCTGGCAGATTAGGGTTAGTTCTCGAACCCACCTGAGAGATAAGGATTAGTTCTTAAACCCACTCAGAGATTAAGGTTAGTTATCGAACATGATATATTCCTCTATCACCTTGGGGCCAACCCGTCGACCTGACAACCTATCGACCTGTCAACCCACTACCTGTCTACCCGTCGACCTATCAACCCACTACCTATCGATCTGTCAACCCGTCGACCTGTCTACCCGTCGACCTGTCAATCCGTCGACCTGTCAACCTGTCGACCTGTCAACCCGTCGACCTGTCAACCAGTCGACTTGTCAACCTGTCGACCTGTCTACCCGCCGACCCGTCGACCTGTCTACCCGCTGACCCGTCTACCCGTCAACCTGTAAACCTGTCGACCTGTCAACCCTTTGACCCGTCTACCCGTCGACGTGTTAACCTGTCGACCTGTCAACCCGTCGACCCGTGTACCCGTCCACCCGTCGACCGTTCTACCTGTCAACCAGTCGACTTGTCAACCTGTCTACCTGTCAAACAGTCGACCTGTCAACCCCGCGACCTATCTACCTGTCAACTTGTCGACTTGTCAATCCGTCTTCTGCTGGAAAAATTCTTCTACTTTCCTTTCCATTATCCAGAAACGCGCATTAATTCAAATTTTGCGCATGAATCCGATTAAAAAGCAAGGCGTATTAATTTAAATTATGCGTATGAAAATATTTTTTTCCGGGACTACTTATCCATATATCCCTGTTGAGCTATACAATCCTTCATTCTCATTCACACTATGTTTAAACAGAGATTACAGAGCTCAGCTTTGCGAATGTTATATTTAAGTAAGACAAAGTCATAAAATTAACCAAAAGAAGTGTACATCCAAAATTTATGCAATTTTGATTTGATACTTTGGAATAGGCCTACACAAAAACTTCAAACTAGTTCTTCATCAGGGTTACGTAATGAAAACGTAATTAGAATCCAGCATCTGAAGCAAGTTTGAGAGTTTTTATCCCTTGATGCATCATTTGTACAAGTTTTTTTTATATAAGCCGTAAAGTTTCTTAATAATAGACCTGCGTCCATAACTTTTACCAGGTCCATTATCTGGAAAATGTATGTCGATTTTAGCATCCGGAGCAACTCCATTAGTGTGCATCCTAAGATATATCATCCATGCGAGTTTTCACAACATAGGGCTGATAGTTACTTAGAAATGAGACCTTCATACAAATTTAACCCTTTCACTCATCCAGAACCAAATGTAGGTGAGATTCAGCATCTGAAGCCAGCCTGGTAGAATGCAACCTTAGATGTATCATTCATGCAAGTTTGGTCATTT